TGTTCATCCAGCTCTACACCTTGTTATCTCAAATTCTCCAGCATCGGCAGTTCCTACTATCTCTTCTATATCTGTATAGCCCTTACCAGTGGTGCGACCAGCTCACTAAATGTGTTATCCACAACGTTCTTGGCCTTATGGGTGCTCCATAGTAAGTCCATCTGCAACTCCAGGAATTGCAGCAGAACATAATTCCTGCATACGGAAGTGTCGTTGGTTTCCCTTATATTGCAGGAGGAGCATTCCAAGGGGCTGAGTTCTCATGCCATTTCAAGCCTAATCAACTTTATCAACTGCAGACAATAATACAGCAACTGATTACACAACCTTACCCACTCATCACCAAACTCAGGTCTGTTTCTCCCTCTAACTTCAGAAAATGTGAAATTATGCACTTTGGCATGAAAAATACAGAAGCCAAGCAATATTTAAATGCAAAAAGCTGCAGAAAAGAGAGATTTGGGCGTCCTTGTGCTTTTATTTTATTTGATCATGGGATGTAGGCATCAGTCACTGGGCCAGCATTTATTGCTCATCCTTAGTTGCCATTGAGAAGGTGGTGGCAAGCTGCCTTCTTGAACTGCTGCTGTCTGTTTGCTGTAGGTAGACCCACATTCTGTGGGAAGGGAGTTCCAGGATTTTAACCCAGCGATACTGAAGGAATGGCGATATATTTCCAAGACACAATGGTATGTGACTTGGAAGGGAGCTTGCAGTTTGTGTTATTCCCATTTATCTGCTGCCCTTGTCCTTCTAGATGGTAATGCTCATGACTTTGTATGGTGCAGTTGAAGGAGCATTGGTGAATATGGGTAGAAAGCGTGAATGGAGTTGTGAGCTGGATGATTAGTTATGATTGTGCTGAATAGCGAAGCAGGCTCAAAAGGCTGAACGGTCTCCTCCTGCTCCTATTTTGTATGATTCTGTGAATTTCTGTAATGCATCTTATCGGTGGTACCACACTGCTGCTACCAGTGTGTCAGTAATGGAAGAAGTACAGTCGAGCGGACTGGTTTGTCTTGGATGGTGTCAAGCTCAAGTGTTTTTGGAACTGTGGACAGGCATGTGTAGAGTAATTAGTCACTTACTTGACTTGTGCCTTTAGGGTGTCAGGAGGTGAATTGCTCACTGCAAGACTCCGAATCTCTGACCTGATCCTGTGTTCACAGTATTTAAAGACGTTTTCTAATCAACCTGTTTGGAGATGTAATTACATACCTCTTGGAGAACGTGGCATATGGATCCCAATCTCCTGGTCCAGAAATAGGGGCACTAACATGGCCCCCAGGAGGCTTCCACTCTGGTTATGGATAGTCCAGTTCATTTACCGGTGAATGGTAACTTCTGGATATTGATAATAGAAGATTCAGCAATGGTAATGCCAATGAATATCAAGGGACGATTACTGGATTCTCTCTTGTTGGAGATAATCATTGCCATAGTGCAACTCAAATGCTGTGGCCAGCTGTCAGTCCAAACCTGGATCTTGTTATCTTGCTGCATTTGGACATGGACTGCTTAGTAGCTGAGAAGACATGAATGGTGCTGAACATTGTGCAATCATCGGCAAACATCTCCACTTCTGACCTTATGGATGAAAGGTCATTGATGAAGCAGCTGAAGATGGTTGGGCTTAACACTACCCTGAGGAACTCCTGCAGAGATGACCAACCTCCAACAACCACGACCATCTTCCACATGCCAGATATGTCTTCAACCAGCAAGGGAGTTTTCCCTGATTCCCGTTGACTCCAGTTTTGCTAGACCTCTTTGATGCCGCATTCAGTCAAATGCTGCCTTGATCTCAAGGCAGTCACCCTCATCTCACCTCTGGAATTCATCTCTTTTGT